GGAATGCCGACAATGTCTTAACATGGACCGACCCTAATTAAATGATTGGGCCACTTCTTTTTTGTCCACAAATACAAATATTCTACCCACATATATATTTGATACAATTTACTTACCAAGATTTGTATTCGAATCATTTAATACAAAACATGGGATTTCACTTTAGTTCTTCTAAACCCTAATCACAAAATGCTGTATCAAATAACTTAATCCAAATACAGACGGACTATATGTTACTACACCAAGCTTAAGCTAAGAATGTCTGAATATACTCATAAAAGAATTTGGCCTTTTAACGAATATTTATAATCAAATGACGTTTTTTTTAATTATTATGCTGATGGAAAGTCTTCAAGAAAATAAAATACAGATTTGACTGTAACAGGGAAGAATCTTCTTGATCTCTGGTGGAGGCGATACGACAACATCACCATGATGTGATGATGATGGTGATGATGATGATGATGATGGTGATGGTGATGATGACGATGGTGATGATGGTTTCATGCCACCCACCTTCTTCTACTCGACGACGTCGTATTGTTGAACAGTGCAAACGACCGAGTCGGCCGATTCTCTCGGGAACGCGACCCTGACCCTGACCCGCTGAAGCATCCAAACAGCCTCATGACCCGGCCGGCGAACCCGCTTCCTCTTTCTCTCCCTCCGCCTCTTCCTCCTCTCGAGCCCCACGAAACCCTTCTCGGGAGTCTATCGTCGGCGAATCTCCCGCCGTCGACCTCTGTGTACACCACCGGCATCATCCTGTCCCCTCCTCTTCGACCTCCGGGGATCCTCCCGACGGCGAATCCTCCGCCAGGAAGCCTCCATATCGTCAGCCCCGATGCCGACTCGTCGTCCTCTTCCTCTTGTGTCGTAGCGGTGGCTGTGGCGGTTGCACCCTCTACTCCGCCGCCTTCTGTTCCGATTTCCTCCGCCGGGAGCTCGTGGCGGCAAACCGGGCACGAGTTGCGGAGCGCGAGCCAGGGGAGGATGCAATCAGGGTGGTAGATGTGGTTACAAGGCATCTCTCGAGCCGCCGAATTGAGGACGAAGGTCTCCTTGCAGACGGCGCAGTGAGATTGCGAATCGGATTCGAGATGGGTCGGTTCGATTTCTATGACGGGTAAGGACTCTATCGCCGATTTCGAAGCCGGTGGGTGCTCCCACGAACGGTTGTTCCTGTTCGCGTTGAGCTCGATCTGAGAGATCTGATCCAAGAGCCGATCGAATCCAGACCCCAACAAAAACTCCGTCATGCTCGGCGGCAACGGCCGGAGACCGGATTCCGTACCATCGTCGTAGTACATCTGAAACGCCGACCGATCTGGGCCCTCGGATTCGTCGGACTGACCAGATCCACGGAGCACAATCACAGGATTCGGAGACCGTTGGCTCCGCGAACGGACGACGGCGGATCTTGGGCTGTTCTCCACCACGTCGGCGGCGGCGGAGTACATGGCCGAAAGGGGGAACCTGTTGGCGCTGCGTCGGTGGCTGTGGCGTTGACGGGGGTGGAAGGAATCGGCGCGGGTGAAATCCGGCGGATCCTGAATCTGCTCGACGAACCCGCCGTCGCAATCGGGGCAGGCGATGAAATCGGGATCGGAGACCCAGACGAATCTGCTACAACTGTAACACCAATACGATCCAGACGCCATAGACAGCAAAAATTAATCCTTTTTTTTGTTTTTTTTTCACGGATCTGACGAAATGATAAGATTTCCGGGGTAGAAAGAGAGGAACATCCGACGAGAAAATATCAACTGGGAGAGGGGAAGAACATCATCTGGAGGAGGAAGAGAGAGGGGATTGTTGGGGGGCTGTTTGGGAGGCGAGAAAAAGGAGAGAAAATGGTGGAAAATGAAAGGGAGAGAGAAAAGGCGGTTTAATTGAACAGAAAATACCGCGTTGGCGTGCGCCGAACCATCCACATCTTCTACTCCTTGCTCTCCTTATCGTTTGCATTTGTTTTTTTTTTTTAATTCCAAAACAAAATTTGGGTTTGAAGAAAGTTACCATTGATTTAGTATTTTATTAAATCAACATTACTTGGACCGTAAATATGAAAAAATTGATAGAGACTAATGGATTATCTAATTTCCATTTTCTGACATTGTTTTGTATATCTATATTAAATGTTAATTTAGAAAACTAATGTGAACTATAATTACCATGTGGTTAATTTCTCTTTCTAGTGGGCCCCTGTCCAAGTCCATTTGCTCTTCTGGTTATTACGTTTCCTTCCAAAAAAAAAGGGGTCTCTTTAGCTGTTTTATAACCTTCAATTGCTCGTGTTTGTATTTAGGGTAACTCGATGATAATTTGCATAAAAATCGAATTAATATAGTTTGAAAAAATAATTTAAAAGGAATCTAACAAAAAACCAAATATTCATTCCGTATATTTAATCTTTTTTAAAAGGAAAAGAGGCATCGAAAGGGAATAAGCGCATGTCCGCAGAGTCATCAATCATCATCACGTTGGCAACTTTTTTTTATGGATTATATTATTAATCGAACCGATTATTCTTATTAATTACATAATTTAAACAAAAGAAAAAAACGAATTAAGATACGAATAACTTTGAATCTCTTGAATTCCTCATTATTTGGATGATAAATATTAGAAACGTCAACCAAAACCCTAGCTGTCTTGAGTTGTTTTCTGGGTAAAAGACAAGAAAACATTGCCTGTATTAAATACAATATGGTATTTGAATTATGATTCACATGTAATTATGTTCATAATTTTTTTAATTTCATCTGAATATTATTTATAATTCAAAACAAAAGCCCGTAGAGTGAGGCCCAATTTCATTTTAAATGGCCCAATATTAAAATAAATATGCCTGATATAAGCCCATTAAATCCCCCATCAAATCACCCCTCTTCTGGTTTGGGGAAAAAAAAAAGAAGAGAAGCAATTCTTGTCGGCCACCCACGGCTCTCGCTGGTTTGAGCCTAAAGCCAGAGATCATTCGATTAAGATACCGTTTTCCAGATCATGCGCAGGTACTCGTTTTCTTTCGCAAGTTATGTTTTTTCTTCTTTGATTTCGGATTCTTTGCTCTTATGTGTTCGGAAATTGCATCGTGATTTGTAATATCAGACTTGGGATTTCTACTTCAGATTCCTCGAAGTTCGGTCCCCCTTTTCTGATTTGAATTCGGGGACTTTTTTCGTATGAAATTGTTTTCTGGGTTGTGATGATAGGTTGGGTCTTGCTCAGTTGCGTGTTGTAATCACTGGGTTCTTCTTTTAAATCATGAATTTTGTGGAATCTTCATTGATTTTCATTCTAGGAAGTACCCTTTTAGTTTTCTTCTTTCCATTGGCTCTGAAAGTCTGAATTAGTTTGGAAGAAGAAACGTAGGATCTTTGTCTCGGAGATTGTACGAGTGGAAGCTTGTCGGAGAAAGAAACCGTTCCTCAATGGATTCAATCTCAGTTTTGACCAAAACTGATAATAGATTCCATTTAATCTAAATATCTGATCTATCTTTTCCGTGGGTTTCTTTATGACTTTGGCGTTTGTTTTTTCTTGAGGTTTCTTCCTTGATGAAGATTGTGTGGTTTTCGCTTCTTTCTTATTCTCTCTGTGTCATGTCATGCGGATTCAACTAGCCACCGAACTATGTTTCGTGATCTCTATTTATCTCGTTAACCTTACTTTTCGTCCCCGTGTGTTTGGGAACGTAATGCCGGAAACTTTACTCTTTCATTCCGGCCTTGTTGTTTAGCTGTAACTCCATAGGTTATATTGTTCTCGAGTAGAGTTTAGGCTAAAGATCTCAGGTTATAGCGTCGTTCTCTTCCTCAGGATGCAGATGGAAAACCATGCCAGGTCTTTTCTTGTCCTTTCATGTTTCGGGAAATATCAGAATTTGGATTTTGCTGTTGTAAAAATCACATTCATAGACATAGGTGCAAGTTTATTTCGTAGGAGAGTTTTAAACTATGGTAACTAGGGTAGAAGATATCGATTTCAGCCAAGGGTGAGCTCCACAATGCCCCCCCCCCAACTGTGTGTAGAACCCCTTTTTTTAGACCGTTATTCTTATCAGAGTGTTATGGGCTTAATCATCATCGTACTTTGGTTTGCTTGATTTGAGGGGTGTAGAATGAGCCGTGGCTCGCGAGTTGGGTCATTTTCAACGAGCTTGGCCAATGCTTTTTTGGCTCATTTAAAGAACAGGCTCACGAGCCAGCAAACCCTAATTCTTTTACCCTTGCTTTTTAACCTAAACCGTGAACCCATTTCGTGCCTGTTTCTGACATTCCCAATCTACATAAATGTAGGTTTTACATTTTTTTTACTTCTTGTTATTGTTTTGTTGAATGTAAGTTATATCACTCACATGTATTTTTTTTTTGTCAAGATATTGAAGATGAAAGTGATATTCTGATTCAAGATGGTACCTCGGTTTCACAATAGCATGAAGTTACAAGTAGAACCTGATATCGTGTTTGTGTATATGAAATATTTGTGTTGAGTATTTCCATCTCGTTTGAGTCTGGACGGGTGAGGCTGAGCTGAACCAGCTCGTTTTATCGCCGATGATTTCTGACCGGTAGCTTATCGTTCTACTCTTAAAAATTGCAGTAAGGACAGGACACAAGAGCAGCATAAGTAGCTCAGTTCGATTCTGGAAAAAAGATGTGATGGGGGCTCCGAGGCTTTCCGGGATGCAAAAGCAAGTCCTCAGCCTATACAGAGGGTTTCTGAGAGCCGCCCGTTCGAAATCCGAGGAAGACAGGCGCGAGATCGAGACAATCGTGTCGGCCGAGTTCCGCCTGAACTCAAAGCAGATCGATCGCAAGAACTTCCAGTACATCGAGTACTTGGTGCGGCGTGGTAAGAAACAACTTGATCAGCTCAAATGCCGCGACACCGTTAGCCTCTCCTCTTTCAGGGTTTCGTCTTCGAAGCCCGAAAGCTCCTAAGAGCCCTAGTTTTCTGCGGTAAATGGTTCGGCCTCGTTGAACGTTGCTGTTTCAGTGTACGTCATGGAGGAAATTGCTTGATTTTTTTTTTTTATTATAGATATCGCATTGAAATTCAGGCAGTGAAACATTGAATTCCAGATTGCAACTCGGAGATAGAGAGAGAACTTGAAGCTGAGTTCCTGTTCTGTTGGAAGTACATTAGATTTCGGTCTTGGATATATAAGAGAAGGTAATTATTATAGAAGAGAAGCACCAATCCACTTCAAACCCACAAAGGGCAAACCCCAACAGATAACCAAAAAGAGAAACATACACCAACTTATAAATGGGTTTTTTGGTACGAAAAATACCCACAATTACATGATTTATATTTATATATTAAAAAAGCTAGTTAATTTTTAGTTTTTTTTCCTCTCTCCCTCATTTTTGATCCTCAAAAGTGTAAACGCAGCTCCCATCATCGCTCCTAGCCGTTGGATCGAAGTTTTTGGCAGAAGGATCCGTACAGCCCTCTGGCACTGGCAAATTCACTTGCTGTGCTGCTTGCCCTGCAAATCCGCCGCCACCAAAAAAAAACCCTAAATCAAAAACCCTAATCCCAATTTCCCCTTTCCCTCATCCCTTATCACTCTCTTTCGCAATATCGAAAATCATATATATATATGGTGAGGAGAAGGGGGAACTAACCGTAGAAAGTTCCGCGGCCGATAGCGTCAGCGTTTGCGTCTCCTAAGGCAGCTTCCTTGAGGTAAGTGTCGGCGAGTTGGACTCTCTTGACGTTCTCTTGCTCTTGGACGAGCATCGTTCCGTATTCCATAAGCTTCTGGAGAGTCATGGCGGGCTGCTCGAAGGTCGGCAGCGCCTCCCTTGAGTTCACCAGCCTCTTCCCGATCTTCTCCACTCCTACTCCCTCTATGAACTTCCTCACCTCGTCGTCGTACACTCTGGCCCTCAAGGCACCGAAGAAATCTATACACCGCAAAACGATTTCTTGTAAAACAAGGCACCGGAGAAACCGAGGCTCGTGTGTACACTGGTTTAAGTAAGGTACAATGTAGCTTGGAAAGGGGTTGAGTTGAGAGTTTACCGATGGACTGGCCAGGGAATTGGTCGACAAGCTTGACGATGTCCTCCTCGGGGACATTGTCAGTCCTGAAGATACCTTTGCAGACACCGACACGGTCGTCGCGAGTGGGAGCCCAGTAGAACTTCTCCATACGACCGTCACGGATGAGCGGAGCGTAGAGAGTGGAGAAATCGTTACCGGTAACGATGATCGGGACACGAGCGTTCTCCTCCTTGTTGTACATCCCTGGAAGCTGGACGTTGGTCGGGTTGTCGGCAATGTTCATGAGCGTTGCGTTCACCATCTGGTTGTTGACTGTGTACTGAGTCGTTCCTCCCATACGACCAGCTCCTGCGTCGAGATCGTTGATGAATAGACAACACATCTTCCCCTTCTTGATTATGTCCGCTGCCTCACGGTACCTTTGTCTGATCAGCTTGGCGGGCTCTCCTGCGTTTCCACTCTCCAGCTCTCCAGCACTCATCATGATCGGCCTGCGAAAAGATTTGAGACCCGTTTTCGGTTACACTGAAATGGATGATGGGTTGAGATTAGAAATCGAAAAGGGGTGAAACTTACGTGATGCCCATCTTGGCGAAGACGAGCTCACACTGGAAGGATTTACCCTGTCCTTTGCCTCCCCAGATACCCAAGATGAGTGGAACCTGTGACAGATGATTTCAGATTATGTGGAAAGACAGATACAAAATCTTGATGATGTTGAAAGCTCGAGAGAGAAATCGGAGAAGAAAATGGAACCTTGATGTTGGGAAGCTTCAAGAAGTTCTTGGTGAGGTGAACAACCAGCTTGTCCATGAAAGCAGGTGCGATATAGAAACCGTCCATTAGGTTGTCCAAGTTGTACCTATTGTAATCACATGCTTTACATTTCAATGACAGTACAAAGTAAACGAACTGAGGAGCCAAGATTCTTGTCAGGAACTGATAGAGATTGATGAACAGAGAAACTTACTGTCTGAGACCCTGGCTGATGTACTCGTAGGAGCTGAGGACAGCGTGGTGGGTACCGGTTCCCATGGGAGCCTGGAAGAGCGAGTCGACCATACCCTTTCCGCGTGTGATGTCTTGCTGGTCATCGGATACGTCGCTCACAAGACCCTTCCATCTGTCTCCGTCGGTCTGCTGTCCCTCCTCCAGAGCCACGATCTTGAACGACTTGCTCTTCGCGTTTGTGCTCTGCGGGTATCTTGAGGCGGTGACCAGTTTGATGCCCAAGAAGGACGAAGTCGGAGCCGATGCAGCTCCCGCCCCAGATCCATTCAAGCCCAACTGCCAACGAATCCAGGCCAAAAGTCATGTGCTTTATTCGTTGTAATCCGTAACTTGATCATGCCATAGACTCGAAAACCGGTTCAAAGGCTAAAGTGTATAACTTCCTAGCTATGTTAGATATAAAGGGTTCTTCTCTTTCTTAATCTGACATCTACGAAGGTTGTGTAAGAAACAGAGCTCAGAAAACGCATCAAGTAACATAAAGGATCAAACTTTTCACAAGAATTGGGAAACCAAACAGACCCATATGGCTAAAACAGAGGCAGAACCACTCTTTTACAAGTTCAGTTCAAACCACTCCGAAACACAGACAGAAATCAGAACAAAAGAGGGATTGCTGGTGTACCGGAGCTCTGTTGACGTTGATAGCGCCGACGGGGGACACGGCGGAGGCCATTTTCCGGCGAACGCGACGGCGACAAGCGGCGGAGAGATCGAACACAACAGAAAGCAGTAGCGCTAGTTGTGAAGTGGGGAAGACTTGATGAGTTATAAAGAGAGTTCAAACCCAATTCGTTATCTCTTCGAGCTCGAGGCTCAGTCGCCTAATAACCACACGATCGGGAATGCACGGCTCTCGCTGGTTTGAGCCTAAAGCCAAGGAGCGTTCTGTGCCACTGGATTTTACGTAGCATTTAGTTTTCAGATTCGATTTTTATTACTCCCTCTTTCTTTTTTTTTTTAAACCTATTTATTTATTACTCCCTCTGTTTCTGATTAAATGACGTTTCCCATTTTTTTTTAAAAAAAGTCTTATATGCCCTCATTAAATTATTTTTGTATTAATACTTTATTGGAGTTGAATATTTGAATTAGAAATATTTTTAAATAACCTTGAAAATCTAAAACCAGGTATGAGCTTTTTTTCTGTCCGAAAACTACGGGTCATCTTTTGGTCCTTCGTGTAATATTTAATTTTATCATTTGTTTCCTTTTTTTTTCTTATAATGAAAAGAGAGAATTTGAGGATGAGGTGAGCAAATCAATATGTGATCAGGAATCTAAATTTTTTTTTTTTTAACTAGAAGGTTCACCTGGGCCTTCGGCCCAACCTACATCACCTAGGTTCGGGAGCAGCCTTTAGAGGCCCGGCGACAGGAGTCCAGAGAGCAACACCCTCCCAACCGAGAAATACCCCCTCCCTCCCCATCAGCTGGTTTCGAACTGGCGACCGGGGCCCAGAGAGCAACACTCTCGAATAAGATCTTACCTCTTCTTCTTCCTCTTGCTTGAAGACAATCACCGAAACCAGAATCCTCGGACATGAAGCAGAAGAAGAACCAGAGCAGATCCTTGAACCCCTATTCCATGCAAACCCATGATGAATCCGCCTCTTCACCCTCACCAAGATTTCTCTCTCTTCTTCGTTCCAAGGTATCTTCTTTTTCCATTTTTATATTCGGATTTTCGTTTAACATAAAGATTATATCTATTCAAAAAAAATTTTTACTCTTTCGATTTTTATTTATTTATTTTAATTTCATTTCTTAATTTTTTTTAATTTAATTTCATGTTTGATACCTGTTTAATTCTTAGATCGTATTCAATCGGAGTACAAAACTATCTCAAAACCTGCACTGGGGAAATCCATCAATGTTTCTCATACTATCAATGTTTTGCTTATACGTAGCAAATATTTTTAATGCATTAATAAACAAAGCTAAAGGGAAAACGAGTAATCACTAAAAAAAATGCATAAACTTTTCAACACTTTTCCATTAGATAATTGAAATTGCGTGGCATTATATTGGTTATTATATCTATTTTTTTTTTTATAAATTGGTTATTATATCTCTCAGTGAAAGCATCTCTATACACTTGAAAAGATATTCCAATAATAATAATAATAATAATTAAATATGTTTTTCTTTTTTTTTATAACCAAGATATCCATCGGGCGCTCCATCCACTTAATCCTCTAGATCCAAAATCAGTTTTTAATTATGCGATTAATTATTACTTTTTCTCCTCACCACCGGTAGAATCTAATTTTTTCTGTTGATGAAATAGAGATATAATCGATCACGAATGAACAGTTGAATTTTTATTTACTTACAATTGAATTTCTCAAAATATTTGAGTTTGATAAATTTTAGGATGCTCACACTATATATAGAATTTACTTTGTTATAAATTCAATCCGAAACGTTACATATGCCAAATTGTTGGGAAAAAGGGTAATAACCCTTTGTTTATTTATGACGTCAAATCGTCCAATACATTTGTTTATTTATTTTCACTCAAACAGTCAATTAAATTAGAAAATAAACACCAAATCCATTGCTCAAAAGATGAAAGAAATTGGGATCTTTGTGTTGTTGGTTTGTGCGATACAAATTGGAACACAAAATTTCAAACAAGCGTTTATATTTTTAAAATATGAGTTTTTTTAAAGCTGTTTATCTGTACATTTTGAACAAAAAATTAAATATAATTAAAACCATGGTGAATACAGCCATTGCTTGAATCCAATCGCATCGTAAGCTCTTAGAGATCACTAAACCAAAGCTACACAAAGTCATGTCTTAAGCATGCATGCGCATACTAATAACGAAACGCCGCACGCACGCTTTTGCCTGATACGATGACGAATCCGACGGTTCTATGAACAAAACGATGAAACCCTAATGTTAGATTATCTTTTCAGGAACCAACGATAATATAACGAGTCCTAAGAAGGGTATATGCCAAACAACAAGCAAATGACATATAAAGGCAAAAGACCTAGAAGCTCAACATGAAATTTTCCTCCAAGCAAATGTATCGACTATTCCCTTGCATATATATGTATATATGTATGCATGGAGATTACACGATGAGCAGAAAAACGAAGAGAATTAAGAACCCTAAAAAAGAAGTGAAGGAAGGCTTAAACATTCAAAAAACCCGAAAGCTTTTGTAGCGAAAATCCTTTTTCTCTCCCAAAGTTTTATTGTCTTCCAAATCTTTTGGCAAAAACATATCAGAGGTGAGATTCTACAAGCATTTCCCTTCACAAAAATGCTATCTTGTGATCAAAACTCAGTCAAGAAAACCCTAAGTCTTTTTCTTCTGACTCTCCCAATTATATAGTTCGAGACCAAACAGGAACAGACAAGCAAATCCGAAAGAATTCGATGGATCGATCCAAACCCTCGTTCCGATGTTTATCTGCTTCAATACGACGGAGGAGGAGGAGGAGGAGGACGGGGTGGAGGAGGAGCACCCCAAAACGCGTCATGGTGAGGAAATTGTCCATTTGGCATGAAGTTAGGAGGCATATTATATATCAACGATGGCATTGGCATCGACCCTCCGTTGCTACTGTTCCCGGTCTCGTTGTTACCATTATCGTCGTTCTTCTCCTCGTTCACTTCGTTTTCTTCCTGCTCTTCTTGCTTCTCCGGCTGGTTACCATCCTCTACCGGTAACCTCTCATATGTCGCGTTGCTAAAGGTAGCCGCCATGACTATGACTGGACCCGAGGCCACTAGAGGCCCAGCAACACAGCCTCCCACCACCTGACCTTGCCCTCCCGCCAGGTAAATGGTCAAACCCGAGGCTGCAGCTGGAGAGCCTAAGGCGGGCAAGAACGCTCCGGACATTGACAGGATCTCGAACCGGCCATGCAGGCTCACTACCCCGCCTGGTGCAGCAGGCTGCCGAAGCGTCACGTTGGTCACCGTGCCGCTTCCGCTCAACACCGAGATGCCACGGCCTCGCCTCCTCGCAAAGGCGCTGAGGCTGTGCACCACGTCAGCTCCGCTTGCTATTTCGAGGACGTGGCTTTGCAGGGAGTTGGGGTTCTCCTTTGTGACCACAACGGGAGATTTGGGTCTGTTCTTCGAACCGGGGGGTCTACCCCTCGGGCGTCGGGCGATCGAGCCGGAACCTGACCCGGACCCATACCCGGACTGGGTTTCAAGTAGGTTATCTTGACTTGGTTCTAGTCGGCTGTTCTGTTCTTCTTGGCTTTGAGCGTTTGGACTTCCGCTGTCGTTGGTGTTGGTGAAGTCTTGGATCAATCTTGGATCCGACCGGTTAAGCCTAATCCGATCTTCGTCTGTCAGATTGGTTGCGCTCATGAGCTGCAACGATGGAGTTGATGATGTAACTGGGTGGTGATCTATGCCTCTCATGGCGACGTTTCCGACCCACCAAGGGTTCGCCATTTTTTGTTTCTCGGGAAAATCGATCTCCGAGAAAATCAAAAGCTTCAAACCTTTTCTTCTTCTATATGCGACCCTTGCAGTTCCCTTATTTACCAGTGAAAGAATCCAAATAAATCCCTCAAATCGGAGAAGTTACCAGAGAGAGAGAGAGAGAGATGATTCAAAAACCCCCATCTTTATAGCTCACATTGCACCCAAATCCAGGCCGACATGCTGCATGAACCGGACACTAACAGACATGGGTTTCATTTGTTTGCTTCCATGTCCCAAACAAAACCCTGAAACAAGAAAAAAATTTAAGGAAAAAAAAAAGACAGAGATCAGATCCGGCAGTAGCTAAAACAACAAAAGCCTACCTCACAAAATTTCTGAAACACAAATCCAAAGCCACCGACAAGATGAAATAACCATCGAACAGCAAGTCGCAGGAAAAAAAAAACACGCGAGGACAAGAAAATCTTTTTACCTCTCATGATGATGATAACCATCGTTACTGCGAGTATGCTAAAAGGAGGAAGACGAGGAACAAGAAAAAGAAGATGCCGATGATTTTTTTTTTTCGTACCTTGATGGCAGAGAATCAATTAACAGTTCAAAGTGAATCCTCTCTAAAATCAAATCTGCAAGTGGGGTTCCCCTCTCCCTCTCTCTCTACCTGTGTTGAGAGAGTGCGTACGTTAAAGGAGAGCCCGGGCGTACGATAAGGTCAGAACGAAAACCTTTTGGTTTGATCCCTCGTTATTACAGAGTACGATCTCCGAAGCAGCTTCTGCCAGGGGACTTCGGCTTTCGACATTTAGCTGTCCGAGCAAAAGCTTCAGTGAGCTTCTCTAGGCCTCTCTCTCATCGATGGCCCCACCGATGCAAAATTACTCAAACACCCCCCCTCCCCATTTTCCTCCCACATTCGTTTTTATGTTTTTATTTTCTCTATTAAAAATTATGCAGTATTTTTTTTTATGGATGGGATAAATGAGATTTCGGTTGGACAATTGAGAATTGGGATTTTAATTTTTTTTAATCAGATTTTTTAATTCATCGTTCATACGTATCCGTATTTTGGTTATTTACATATATTCGAATATTTTGATATCTACGGATATGACGAAGAGAGAGGCGAATGCGAAAACGAATATAAAACATAATAAAGATGACGGCGATGAGAGAAATAGGGGGGAAATGACGTACCTCGGTGGACGGAGATATGACGGAGATATGACGGAAATATGACGGAAGAACGAGAAAGACACTCGACGTGAGACCGAGAGAGAAGCCACGGAGCGGCGAGAGAAATAGCGGAACACAAAATATTTATATAGAAAAAAAATAACCCTAGTTCTTTTAATGGGTTTTTTTAAATAAAAATCAAACCTGAATATTTACCAAAAAATGTATTTTTCTTCTAATCCATGGTATTAAGATTGTGAATAAGGGTTAAGATAAATGATTATTTTTTTTTTGTAATAGATTCTGTATCTACATTCTTGTTTTGGAAGGTTGGAATTAAATTGACCAAGAAACATTAAACAGGTGTTGTGCAACAAAAACAAATATTCTAACCTTTTGTAGTAAGTAATAACATCTAAAAAAAGAACTATATAGAAAGATATATAAAAATCATTTATTGATATTCTTCCAATATGTGATAGATTCATGTAATTGTCCATTTCCTCTCTTGCCAAATATGACAATACAAAACGTATACTCCCAATCGCCGTAACTTACGGATGCATTAGCCGCACGCACGGCTCACGTTTTCATATTTCGATAAATTATTAAGAAAAAGCTCGTATTTATTATAAATAATTACATAATTAGTTAATTAGTCCCACGAAAATTCGCTTTATTTTGATTTGTTTGTTAAAGTTCTCTCCCCCCCCCCCCCTATATATATATAACAAAATAAAACAATAATGAATTCGAAAAGTTCAATATTTTTTTTAAAATTACACAATTTCTAAACAACCTAATAATTTTTCTCCATCTAATAAAAACCGAATATATATTAAACATTTTTTTTTATTCTATACTCTATTCAACAATTGATAGTATATGAATCGAAAAATAAAAATATTTATCAAATCCAATTCAAACGGATTTAAACAGAATTACAACAAAATAAACCAGATTATTCCGGTGATAATATTAGAAAACCGGAACCATCACGTCACGCAATAGAGAAAAAGAGATCCGATTTTGATATTGCAAACCGGCTTCGGTTCGAGAGCAATTATTTAGTGGGCCGAAAAGCCCAAATATGAGGCCCAAAACTATTTCGATTTAGATACAGGTTCATTTAAAAAATATCGCTTTAATATAATCTGCCATGTTGCATGTCCACCCGTTACGAGTTATATAGTCCTTTTAAACTCCCATAGAGCAAAAAAAACCCAAAATTACATCAAATCAACCGCTTTTCGCCGTCTAGGTTTCCGAGCTGAATCTGGTTTCGATCCCGGCGAATTCTCGTTCCCCGAATCCTCAATTCCTCCGAAATTTCCGGCGACCATGAGCGCTTCTCCCGTGACCGGCGACCCGCAGAGCAACCCGGACACGGTCTCGACATCGATCGTCGAGACGGTGAACGGGTCGCACCAGTTCACGATCAAGGGTTACTCGCTCGCGAAGGGCATGGGACCAGGGAAGTATATACAGAGCGACGTATTCGTCATCGGCGGCTACGACTGGGCGATCTACTTCTATCCCGACGGGAAGAACCCGGAGGACAGTTCCGTGTACGTGTCGGTGTTCATCGCTCTGGCGAGTGAGTCTAATGACGTTAGGGCTTTGTTCGAGCTCTCGCTTGTGGATCAGAGCGGGAAAGGGAAGCACAAGGTGCACAGTCACTTCGATCGGGCGCTCGAAGGAGGGCCTTATACGCTCAAGTATAAGGGGAGCATGTGGTAATTGCTTCTTCTTGTTGATGTGGTTATGCTCTTCTTGTTTGACTTTTTGCTATGATGTGGAAGATTATGTGAATGGGTCTTGTATTGGACAAGAATCCACCTTTTCGCTTAGAGATTGTTATAGGCTATTTCCTCTCTGTTCCAATTTTGTATAGATGAATTGTAAATAGTTTATTTGCGAAGAGGATGTCGGAAGCAGGAACCTTTTTTAGCTGTCTGTCGATGTCATTATGTACTCGTCAGATTGGTTGACTTAGAAGGGTTCTCTACTGTAATTGCAATGGACAAAGTAAATGATAGAGCTAAAAGAATCTCATCCGATCTTTCTTATCGTGGATTTCAAATTCATTGTTGAGATTTGGTGCTTGAAGTATGTGCTGTTTGGTGAACGTAAGTTTGATACATTGTGTATTTAGTCGTGTTGCTAACCTTGAGTACTTATATGATTTGGTGAACTTCTTTGATTATACATCCATGTTGTTGAAAGTTTTTTACTTTATTTGGTGTGTTCCCTACGGTAGGTTTTTCCTTCAAACTATTAGAAAACTTTCGGTTTGTTGTAAGTAAACTTACCGTTAATTTTTCCAGGGGGTACAAGCGGTTCTTCAGAAGGACAACCTTAGAAGCCTCTGATTTCTTGAAGGATGACTGTCTTGTAATCAATTGTACTGTTGGAGTTGTTAGAACTCGTCTTGAGGGACCAAAGCAGTATCACATTCCCTTACCCCCATCAAATATGGGTCAGGGATTGAAAGACTTGTTAGATTCTGAAGTTGGTTGTGATATAGCTTTCCAAGTGAGAGAGGAAACATATAAAGCGCATAAACTGATTCTTGCGGCACGCTCACCGGTTTTTAGAGCTCAGTTCTTTGGATTAGTTGGAGATAACAGTGTGGATAGAATAGTAATAGATGACATTGAGCCTTCAATCTTCAAGGTAGCGTTTCTTCATTGAAATTTTCATATAATTGCGTCTACTGGGTGCTGGCTACTTGAAAAGCTTTGTGAACTTAAGAGTTATTCACTTCCAGTTGAATGATTTTAACTGTCTCAAAATTGGAGTTTGACCATCTTGCCTTTTTTTTGGGAAGAAAACCACAATTCCTCTGACTTAGTTTATTCGCAATTTGTATAGGCAATGCTCAACTTCATCTACACTGATGAACTTCCTGATGTGAATGAGATTACGGGCTCAGTTTCTCCCAGTTCATTCACGAACATGGTACAGCATCTTTTGGCAGCTGCTGACCTATATGATTTGGGGAGACTGAAGATATTATGTGAAGCAGTGTTATGTGAGCATCTCAATGTAGATAATGTGGCAACAACACTTGCACTGGCTGAACAACACCAGTTTTCGCAGCTCAAAACCTTTTGCTTGAAGTTCGCTGCATCATCAACAAACTTGGGAGGTGAGCGTTGTGTCCTCACTGATTGATAAAAATTTCTGATTATTTTGAATTTAATCCAGTTTTCATGTTTGCAGCATATATGCTTTCTTGTGCATATTCAATTGAGCGTGATAAGCATGCTTATTCATGCTTTATTGATTTCTTATCAACATTACTATCATGTAATACCAATGGTAAAAGAAAATGGTCCTGCTTGTGAGAGAAGTGGGCCATTTTTACCATCAATGATTGATGTTTTGGTTTGGGTGCAGCCATGGAATGTTTTCTGTTACCCTTTGGATTCACTCGGATGTTGGCAACCAAAACACAAAAAACCAATAGATACAATACGCTCATGAAACTTTTAGAACCAAAATGTTCCTAAATCATATAAAGGATTATGTATAGAACTCCTGCTTTAGTTGTGTGAAGGATTGTTTGCTTGTGGTTTTCTCTAGATTCAGTAGTTTGAAAGTTTTCCTTTGGCCAGCCACTTAAACAGGAGGGATTCTGTTTGCTGGTCCCGGGAATCTTAATGTGTAAAATCTATTGTCGATTTGATTATATAAAATTTAGAGTTCTACTCACAGGCGGAAGGATGAGATGCAAAAATTTACGTAAAAATTTATGCCGTTCCCTTTTCACGGATAAGTAAGTACCTATTACTTATTTATCTAGTATACTAAAGCTGAAGTTTCGTGTTTTCTTTGTGATTTGCACTGAACTGGGTGTGATAAGTAGTTATCTCTTTACTGTCTTAGCGTTCCAGAATATATATTTTCAAATTGATTATATGGGGGTCGTGTCTATTGTATTTACTCTTTCATAGAGAGGTGGAGATCCAAAACCAGGATCTTCTTGTAGGATTTACATTGAGTAAGTGACTACGAGGTTGTTGTCTTAACTTTAAGTCACAGAAAAGGATTTGCATTCACATCTAAGCCAGTAGACACAGGTAGCAAAAACTCGATTGAATTGATTATTTATTTTCGTCTCTTGAAACCTGGGGAGCAGAGATGTTTTCCCAGATTTGCCAATGTATTTTCTCGTGCACGCCGATACACACTCTGGCAAGAATTCATAGTTTTAAGCCTGTTTATGTTTTTTGCAGCTGTTATGCAGTCCGAGGGGTTCAAGCACTTGGAAGAGTGTTGTCCGTCCTTATTATCTGAGTTGTTGAAAGCGTATGCAGCAGGTGATGATGGTTCGAACGGGCAGTTAAGCAAGAAAAGAAGTGGGAGCAGTGTGATGGGATGTGATCTGACTCTTGGGACAGTTATATCGGAAGCACTGAATCCAAATACGAGACGAGTGAGACGGAGAAATTAGGACAGTGAAACCTGGCTACGTGTCGCAACAAAATGATAAAATACTCGCTGTAGCAATGTAAGCTTCTCTGGACCTTGTTTTAACTTCTTCATAGGATTGGTATATGAAACCTCGGCTTCGCGGGGGTAGAAGTCAGTTTACATATATGTTCTCTGTTACTTAAATAAACTAGAGTTTATTGCAACAACTCATTCTCGGGTAGAGGAGAGAAAAAGAAGGAAAACTTCTGTATGAAATGGACAGTTGACTAAAGGCTTAGGAGCATATGTTTTATCTTATCTTGAAGGAAAAAGGACTTCTAGCATCAGCTAGTTCAAAGCTTAGAGGCATATGTTTTATCTGAAGAGACTTTCTATCATCGGTTTGGCTAAGTTTCAAGCCGAGTTGTCTTGATGAACCTTTGGATTTTGCGGTGACATTGAGATTTGGAAACAATTTGGCCAGAGAAAAGCACCCATAGCAAAGTCCCGCTTGTGAGGCAAGTCGCCGAAAGTAGAGAGGCCATATTCGGATAGTAGGCGGTCGAGCTTCCACTCGGGCATGTCTTGGTAATCCTTCATAGTGTAACGCGGGTAATGAAGAGGCATCCGGAACACGCTTGTTTCACCGCTCTCCAGGCCTCTCACCTCCATTAGTAAGTACTGTCCCCTCTCTCTCTCTCTGTCTGGTTATGAATACAGAGAGCAATGGATGCGCGTGTGTGTCTTGTTCATTGGATTAGCTGAGGCTTTTTATATCATCTTAAAACAACAAAAGATGAAAGTGATGCGGTTAGAATTGTGTGTGTGTGTGTGTCACAAGAATTGGGCTGTGTACCTTCTTGGTTTTCCTCTGCCAAAACGCATGAACACTGTGGATAATGTCTCTTCCAATACAGTTTGTATAATCTGTGAATGGTTTTTGCCCTCTCGACTTCTTTTTCCATTCCTCAGTTTTTTCCTTTTTGGAGTTGTTCTTCACAGCTTGATAATACTTGTGTCTTGTGATAGATATTATGTTTTCCACTGTATTTGTCTCCTTTTTTTCTTTATTACAATTTTTTTTTTAAATTTTGCCATGCAATGAACCCTGAATCCTGTCCAATTTCGTATTTTAAAAAGGGCAATATGTAAAAATCTTTTATGCCATTGATGCGTTAATTGGTTGTATAGATTTTTAATAAGAAAGAAAAAGAGCATAAAACATGATCATGAAGGTGTTGTGGACGTAGCCATGCAGAGAGGCGTACTTTAATAGATCTGCTAAAGCTATTTTTAGGGGGTGTCAAGAAGAAGCTGGGTTTTGATTTAAATATTGAAATCCGTTTGTTTATTGGGCCGGGTTGGCCCGACCTAGGATTTTAACTTTATATATATATACACTAATACATACACTCATTCACCCAATTATATATACGAGTTTTTAAATATATTTAAAACATGAGTAAACAATACAAAAAGAGAATGTAGAATCCTCGAGAATTTTGATTTTTAATTTTTCGGAAAAATATATGTTATTAAACTTTGTTAACAAATTTTATATTTCGATTATCTTTTATTTGTGTTTTTACGATAGGTTTGATTTTTGCAAATGTTAAACCAAGGACACATTGTTGCTTGACGTCCGCCCCGAGCATTTTGAGACCCCTAGCTATTTTGAAAGACGGAAATGACAAGACGTACGTACGTGTAAGTGCGGAGATACACATGCAATCATAGAAATTTATGATCACGAGAGGGGTCGTTATGGCAATCATTGAGCTCCTCTCACGCGTCACATCACTCAATGATTTTGACGGGTTTTTTTTTTAATCACTTAAATACTTTATTTTTGTTGATTCATGTGACTGCCTATGGTTGTGTGATCAATTGCTTTTGTATTAAAAATGGGCACTCTCAATTAATGTATATGCATATATATAACGAACGAATAGAAATAGGCATAAGAACGATGGGGCTCCTTTCTCCTTTGGCTTTGGAATTGTTTTTTTCTCTCTTCAAAAAATAACTTAATTGTTATGGTGTAATATATATATACACAAAGGTAAATAGCATGTAAATGTATATGATTAAAAAAAATCAGATTAATTTTTTTTTCATGAAGAATATTGTGGCTGAGAGTAAGAAAGAAAGGTTCCATTTTTGGAAGAATGAAAATTTCCATTTTCAATGGAATATGAAAGTGCGTGGCTCTGAATGAGGAACCGAAAGAAAGGTGTAAATGGAGATGAACACTGAAGCGTGTCCCCTCTTTCTTTTGGGTCCATTCTCTCTTCTGCTGTAACGAATAATATATAATTGTATATAAACATAATTTATACCAACCCCATACAAACAATTATTGGATTTATTTACAAAAATCAAATTAACTGATTTTAAATTGAATATAAATTGGGAAATGGATTATGTTTAAAAAATCATTTTCAATCAGTTAAGCAAATTAAAATTCGATATATATATATATATATATATATATATAAAATTAAAAATAAGTAGATCGAAATCTCAAATGACCACATCTAATTTTCAAGACATCGTTTTAAAGTAGTTTAATGCTTTTTTTTATGTCGAAAAAAAAATAGGTGGACCGTGGAAGAACATAAATTTTACTAAATGGATCGGAATGAGTTATTAATATTATTATTTCTTAAAAAAGAGAGAGAATGAGTTTGATAGAAAACATGAAATCTTCCATTAAAATATATGTATATATATATATATATATTTTACTTTCGTTTTCATTCCGAATAACGGAAGCCTTTCAGATCGACCGACCATGTATGTATGTAATCATTTGCTTAATTAAAGACAACATTTGTACAACGACCGAACACAAATATGTATTTAACGTAATTAAAAAAATCGTGGGGCCGAATGATGACGTGTCGATTTGAGATGGGACCCACTCGATGGAACCCCCAACGGCTCAACCACAAGCAAAAAAACACTCAACACAAAGCACCTTCCGGAAACTTCTTCCCAAACTCCTGGCTGCAATTCCTCCACCTATTTTTTAGCGGCCTGTATCTTGCCACGTGTCAATCTTCCACGTGATGCATCCGACGTGGCTGCTCTCGTTCTCTTAATAATGATTCGTGTTCGGCCTTTTGGGGAATGCTTTCACACAAACCCCTAACATTTCGATTCTTTTTTAGAATCAACCCCAAGTTCTCATTTACATCATCGTGACAGTCCCTTTTTACCTTTATTTTTCTAAACGATATGTTGTTATTTATATATTCATAACCAAAAAAAAAAAAAAGTGTACACCGGTTTTGCCATATATGATCTATAATTTACCAGAATGAAACATATGCTGTTTGAGTCGCCGCCAACAACAAAAAAATCGTAGAATATATTTTTTTGTTATAAATTTTATTATTTATTATATTAACATCCATAATTTTAGAAATTGAAAACTAAAATAAAATTTGAGATGGAATCCAGAAGACCCACAAAAGTTTTGGTTGCTGAAGGTATGGAATCATATAATACATTTTCAAAAATATAAAAGGATTTTTGATAATATCAATTGAAAATTAGACAAATTTGATAGTAGTATTGAAAATTAGATTCGATTTCTCTTGAGGTCTGAATTTCCTTTTAACCTGTCAGTTTCGACTGGTTTATCTACTCTGCATGATTTATCAGCTATTACACGGAATCGAAAAATTTATTATCCGAGATGTTATCCGACACACGGGGTCGATCAGTGTGCGTCCCAAAAGGCTTGGTTATGGATTCTCCACCATCACAAAAAAATATTGAAAATTAGATATTGATAAAATTCATTAATATAAATACATGGGAAATAGATGAAATCTATGATTTGTTTTAATTGATTAAATCATTTTTTGTGGATAATTTGTTTTTCAATGCCAACCAAATTGATAAGAATTTAAAAAAAGAGGAAAAACCATTAGAACCACACAGATCTCTACTAAACAATATAACATATTTGTTTTATTTTTATATAAAATAAATTTATGATCTAACACTATTTTTAGTTGAATTTAAAAATCATATAAATTAAATTTTTTAATTTTTTTTGTACTGAACACTCGAAAAAGAGGCCGATGACCATTTTGGTCGCCGGTTTGTTATGGAATGAAACCATGTTCACAACAAACAATGTAGTATTCCACTTAAAAGATGTATAACACAAATATATATGTAATGTGTATGGAAAAAAGGGCCACTGTGATCAAATAAGAAATATGGGCATAAAACGAAGGCTACAACATTCTGGAGGGTAATCTAGACATTTGGCAATTTTCCCTTTCTGCTACTGAGCAATAGTGTTAAATTAGGGCTCTGCTTTCTCTATAGCCCATGAACTTCCATGTCTATACATACACATAAAGGTGTATCTAAATCTGTGTATGTATATATACCATAAACTCATTAGCTCTCAGAAATGTTCAACTTTTTTCGCCTTCTGCTTTATCCAGCGGTTTTCAAGTGAAATGAATGACGACGGGGAATCAGAGAAGGTATCTGTCCCCGCCGTGTCCGCCGCAGCGGCGGAGGAAATGGCGGGGGGAAGTCGACAGTTTGGGGTTACCTTCCCGGAGCTTCTCCGCAACGGTCGCCGTTGTTGTCTCCGGTGGAGGTGAAGATTCCGTCGGCTATCGAGAGCTCGTGGAAGGACGTGTGCGGCGGTGGCTGCGGCTTCGCCATGGCTATCGCAGGTGCTCTCTCGAACTTATTTCGCTTCGATTTCCCGCAAGTTTGTCGGTCAGAGCAACCTTAACGAGACTTGCGATGGCTCGTGGTCGGATTCCTTTCATTCTGGAACTGTGTATGGTTCTATGTGGTTTTGAATCCAAATGATGAGTTGGGTTTCGTTCTATGCAATGGACTTTGCCATGCTTACGAGTTTATCTGGCTTTGTTAATCAGAATCCGGGAAGCTTATGACATGGGGTTCTACAGATGATCTAGGTCAAAGCTACGTGACTTCCGGGAAGCACGGGGTAGTCTGCATTCTTGTGCATTGTATTGATTTCATTTATGTCTGAAAATCTCTGTTAAACATTGCTGAATTGAACTGTAGTTTATGAATTTCAATCGAACTTATCGTTATAGGAAACTCCAGAGCCTTTTCCTCTTCCTGAAGAAGTTTGTGTGCAAAAAGCTGAAGCCGGTTGGGCTCATTGTGTGGCAGTAACAGGTGCATTTGTGTCCAGTGATAAAGCCATTGCCTTTATGAGTGATTTGACCAGCAGCCCCATTGTTAAATATGACAACTTTTAATAATGTTTAGTCTTTGATTTGTCTCTAAGAGAGTTTCTTGCCTTGGAAACAGATAACCAGGAAGTATATACGTGGGGATGGAAGGAATGCATACCCTCAGGGAGGATCTTCGGAGACCAATCATTTATGGGAGGAAGCGCCAACAAAGATACATATCAAAGACATATTTCATTCTCGGCAGAGAAAGGTGAATCTCCTGTCTTCTTTTCTGTTTCACAGCTCTGATTATCCTCTTGGTTGGTCAGAGGATGAATTTGGAAGAGATTGGCTTTTTTATTTTCTCTTTGTAGTAAGCCCCCGTTCCCAAGGGTCAAAATCTAGTGGTGGAACCGTTTCTCTAATGGAAAATAGAGGCGGAGAAGAATCTTCAAAGAAAAGGAGGATATCACCCGCAAAGCAAGCTGCTGAAAGCTCATCATCTGGTGAAAGCGACTTGTCAGCATTGCCTTGCCTTGTGTCATTGCCCCTGGGAGTAAATATTGTTAGCGTAGCTGCAGGTGGGCGTCATACTCTAGTCTTATCAGGTGAGATTTTCAGGTTCAAAGTAATCACCATGCCTGAAACAGGGCATTTGGGTTACAGAATATTGACAAGTTGTAGTATCTATTAATCTGAAATGATTCTGGGTGTGCTGTAGCACTTGATTCTTCCTAATTTTTCTAAAGTCCAGATATTGGACAGGTGTGGGGTTGGGGTTATGGAGGAGAAGGGCAGCTTGGATTGGGTTCTCGGATTCGTTTGGTTTCCTCTCCTCATCCTATACCTTGCATTGAGCGCTCCTCTTATGGAAAAGGCAGGTCTATGGCCATTGCTGGAGGAAGCATGAGTTCAGTAGGGCAGAGCGGCGGAGTTCTTGGAAGTTATGTGAAAAGAATTGCATGTGGAGGGCGACACAGTGTGGTAATCACAGGTATGCTTCTTATATTATTGTAGTTATTGTGCCTTGTTGTTTACTACAAAAATAGGGAGGATGGTTTTGAATTCATTGCACTGGAGACAATTCCTTTGGTCTTGAGGTCAATCGTTGCTACTCAGCAACCGGACAGATTTTATGCCCTTGTGGGCACTATGCCTGCTGAAACACATCTTGTGTCCGCATTAAATTAGAAATGGACTTATCAGCTCTTAGTTCCTATAAAATTAGAAGAAAGTGGCAAGCTACCTGAGAATGTTTTGTAAGAGAACATTTTGGTCCATGCATATATCATATGCATGAAGTGTGACTATTGCTTCTTTTAGCAGATGCTGGAGCTATGCTTGCATTTGGTTGGGGGCTTTATGGGCAGGTGAGCTTGACAGATCTTGGTTTTGTCTATCACATTTGCTTAAAACTAAAATGAGTTGAGGTTTTTGCTCCTAACTGAGACTACCTGACTGTGTTTGGCGCGAATAACTGTTCCGGAAATCTGTTCATTTGGGATCAGTATGATCAGTTGGATCAGTTGAATCCTTTCGGGAATATATTGCTGTATAAGAAAATGTGAACTCTTCTGAGATTAGGAGTATGATGAAATGATCAGCAGAAGCAAATTTGCCACAGTAGAGTTTCAAGATATTGTAAAAGTTGCTCCTAGCTATCTTCATTCTGCAACTAACTTCTTTTAACCTGCACATATTATATGGATTGGTAGAAGCAATGAAACGTTATGTTTTCTCTGTAAAGTGTGGCCAGGGAAGTACAGATGATGAACTAAGTCCTACTTGTGTGTCATCATTGTTGGGCATCCGGGTAGAGGAAGTGGCTGCAGGTCTATGGCACACGGTTTGTGTTTCATCTGATGGTGATGTGTATGCGTTTGGTGGAAATCAATTTGGGCAACTAGGGACTGGCAGTGATCAGGCCGAGGTAGATTCTGTTAAGTATCATTTATGTACTTCTCATAGTCAAAAGACTGTTAGATGCGAAGAACTTATATCTCTCCTAGCTGATAATATAATTCCTTTCTTGATTCCTTAGTCATTAGGTTCAGCTACCACAATCTAATTTCTTGGAAAGGGTTTAATGATTAACTTCAGTTACTTATGTTTCAGACTCTCCCGAGGCTATTGGATGCTCCTAGTTTGGAGAATTTGAATGTCAGAAGTATCTCCTGTGGGGCTCGTCACTCCGCTGTCATTACAGGTATCCATTAAACCAACCAGGAATATTTTCTTTCCAGCGATGGATGTCAGAGGTGATTCATCTTGATATTCCATGCTTTCTTCTCTGCTTCAACCTTGTTTGATAACATCAATCAACCATTCAGTTCAAACTACACCTTGTTTTTGGCATATCTCTAGCCAATTTGTCTCACTGCCGAATATGTTCAACCATTTTTTAAATCTAAAATCTGTTCAATAACCCTGTCCAAACCCGAATTACTCTTCTTAGTTCTTCAAGTTGTGTCTAGAGTTAGTTTGGATTATCAATCTCTTTTTTCTTCGTCCAAAGCCCCACCTCATCACCAAACAGTAGGTCTCAAGTCTTGAAAGACCACAAACTTTTTCGGAAGAATATCCTCATTCCTCAAATCCTGTAAGAAAAATAGGATCTAAGTTTCAGATAAATGCAAACTTAATTGGTGAATTTTTTGTTGGTTGCAGGGGATGGAAAGGTATTCTGCTGGGGTTGGAACAAATATGGGCAGGTAAGCCATGCTCTTTCATGGTGATCCTTGTTATATAAAGGCCTTTGCCTTAGAACACTTACTAACAACAGAGGTGTCCTGTGAAACAGCTTGGTCAGGGAGACGTGATTGATCGGAACGTTCCCTCTCAGGTCAGGACCGAAGGTTTCATCCCAAAGGACATTGCATGTGGCTGGTGGCATACTCTGCTTCTAGGTGTATCGCCTCCTTGAACACATGACATGACCCCTCTCTCTCTACACCTCCATTTCCAAGTTTTGTTAGGGTTAGAGAACAAAGACTTGAGTAGCTGAACAGGGAATAGGAATACCCTTTTGTTGTATACATATAATTTATATGTGCACCATACTTATTATATAGTATGTACATATATCCCCAGTTTGTATACATGTAGTTTTTTCCCAGCATTTCCAGGTCCATAATTGTGGCTTTGCCCATTTAAAGGATTCTGACAGAATGGTTATATAGAGGAGAATTAGTATATCCTCTGTCCATTGGCCTTCTTGTCTCTGAAGAACCTATCTTTGATTAGCACCAATTCCCTTACAGCCTCAGCCATTGTTAACCTGTCATTAGGACATTCTTCAGAACACCTGATTCCGACATGAAAAACCAGTTTCAGACGCTCAGTAGTATCTGCAATCTTCATGTCAGCATCCACATTGTGGAGAATGGATCGGTCTACGATATCCATCGCTCTTTCTGGCAACACCGACTTGGTAAAGCTATAGAGGGTGAAACCGTCGGTAAATAACTCATCTGTAGGTCGTTTTCCGGTGAACATTTCCAGTAAGAGGATTCCAAAGCTGTAAGCATCACCCATTGATGATGGCTGCCATCCCATTCCATACTCTGCAGACATTACAGAAACAAACAGTGAGATGGGGACTGTAGCTAGATTCATTATAATTAAAGATGTTTCATATACTTGAAAACTTGCAAATGGATGGTAACATACCGGGTGGAGCGTAACCAATCGTTCCTCTGACACCTGCAGAGCTAAACCGATCAGGGGACAATCTCAAACCAGATTTCACGGGGATCCGAGCGAGGCCAAAATCGCTGACACAGGCAGTCATATCATCATCCAGAAGAACATTGCTTGGCTTGAGATCACAATGAATTATAGGAGTATGAGAATAAGCGTGAAGATAATCGAAAACCGAGGCCACATCTATGGAAATGTTGAGTCTTTCGAGAAAGGTCAGGTTTCTATCTTGGTGTAGCCACGTATCTAAGTTTCCATTCGGCATGAACTCGTAGACCAGAGCTCTGAATTCATCGCCTTTGAGATCGATGCTCGAACAGACAGTCACCAGTTTCACAAGGTTTATATGCCTTATGCACCTCAAAGCTTCACATTCTGCCATAAAAGTCTTGGCAGCTCCATGCATATGGAGATTTAGAACTTTAACCGCAATAGGCTTGAGGCCGAGAACCCCTTTAAACACAGAACTGAAGTTACCTGACCCAATCAGATTGCGAGAAGAGAAGCCATCGGTTGCATTAGAAAGCTCTGAATAACTTATCCTCTCGTGGATGTAGATGGGTTCGGGTGGGGAACAGAAGCACAATTGGCAGTGTTCTTCTTCTTCTTCTTGAACCAGCATAGACAAATCACAATCAGAATCAGGAACAGCAAGAAAATTGAAGCAAAGATGGCAATTATTGTTCTCACCGAGTGATGCCTTCTCAGTTTTCTTGGAACTTGCACAGGACATGGGTTTAGCTGAAATGCCGGGATGCCTCCACAGAGCCTTTTGTTTCCCAATACTGATACTGCAGTACCATTCCTGAATATCCCTTCCATGGGAACTGCTCCTTCAAAGTTGTTTATGGAGAGATTTAGATACTGCAGCAAAGAGAAATTCACCAAGTATCCAGGTATAGGGCCCGAGAGCCTGTTGTCGGACAGATCAAGATATTTGAGGCCACTCAGCCTCCTTATGTCGGGAATAACTCCGTCGAAGGAATTCCCCCGAAGATAAAGATATTCCATTGAGAGACAATTTCCCAAGCTCTCCGGGATCCTTCCTGATAATCTATTGTATGAAGCATCTACCCCGACAATAAGCTTGAACCTTTCAATTTCATCATCTTCTGGAAAAAGGCCAATTAGAGAATTGTACGAGACATTTAAGAAAACAAGAGACTGAAGTTCCATAAGTTCTTGAGGTACGGTGCCTGTCAACCTGTTAGAACCAAGCTCTAGGCTCTGAAGGTAACTGCAGTTTCCAAGACTTGTGGGGATGCTTCCTTCAAAAGCATTGTTGAACAAATAAAGATTCTGTAATCCAGAGATATTTCCCAAGGAGGACGGTATCTCTCCATACAGTCCATTTGAATGTAGCGACAGTTTTCCGAGTTCAGAAAGCTTCCCCAATAAGGTAGGAAGTCTGCCTGTCAATAAATTTTGTCCCAGGCCTAGGGTTTGCAAGCTAATGAGGTTTCCAATGTCAAGGGGAATATTTCCATAGACAAGATTTCCTTCAAGGGAGAGAATAGTGAGTTTGGCAGAGAGATTGTTTATGAAGGAAGGCAACTTACCACCGAGTCTGTTGTACCCGAGGTCCAGGTACCGCAACTGAGTGCAGTTAGTCAAACCGTCGAGAAACTCAAGATCACTGGAGGAGTTAGTTCCCAGATAATTGAAAGCTACACCTAGGATTTTCACGCTTTGTAGTTTGCCAAAACCCAATGGTATACCTCCTGTCATATGGTTGAAAGTGATATCCAGATTTCCGAAGGTTGAAATATTGAACAGTGTAGGAGGAATGGTTCCTGTGAAACGATTTCCTCCCGCAACCAGTGCATACAGGTTGTAAAGAAGAGTGCCAAAATCTGGCCTGAGATTACCGGAGAAACGGTTAAAGCTCATGGATAAGTATAGAAGTGAGGAGAGGTTGTAGATAGCAGGAGGGAAAACTCCTGAAAAGTTGTTCACTGCAATTTGGAGCAACACCATTTTTGTCAGGCTCCCTATACTTTCCGGGATCTCCCCTTCCATATGGTTATACGTAAAGTCGAGTGCTTGAGGTGATGTCAGGTTCCCCAAAGACACAGGGAACTTACCTGTCAGATTGTTTCTACCAAGAAACAGCAAGACAAGCTTAGGCACAGACCCTAACTCAGAAGGAACATCACCTTCAAGATTATTTGATAATAATTCAAGAGTCAAAAGGCTGGAACAGTTAGATAGATCAACTGGGATCCTTCCGGTGGGAAAATTGTTACTCACGTTCAAGTACTGAAGTCTGAACAACTTCCCGACTTCTCGCGGTATGGTGTCATGGAAATAGTTGTTTGAGAGATCAAGCAATCTGAGAAATGAAAGATTACCGATAAAGGGCGAGACTTTCCCAGACAACTTCAATCCCACGAGATCCCAACCCGTGACTCTTTTGTGTTTGAGGCCACATGTAACCCAGTTCCACCTACAGAGAGGAAGAGACTCGTTCCAAGACGCCAAAACGACTCTGCTATTTTCAGAAACTCGAGACTTGAACTCAAGCAATGCTTGTTTATCTGTCTCATCTGCGAATCTTGATGCTTTTTGAGCACAGACCACTTCTGAAACTTTCATAACTAAAGAGCATGAACAAGAACAACTGGTAAAAGAAATAGCTTCATGCTCGTCTAAGGAAGTCAGATGGGAACAACTAACAGTTTTGTCAGTATGAACTATGAGACAGAACAACTCTTCTTTTTCCCCGAACTCCTGAGGAAGGATTTTGGTTTCATGCCTGCAAAAAAAAACAAGAACTTCAAAGACCAAGGCACTTACAGCTTGTTGTGGTCTCACTCGAAGGTCTGAGAAGAATCTGTCAATCTTACATCACTGAATCAGTAAAAAATGCTGGGTAGTAAGAGCAAAAAAGGATCCTCAAACCCATCAACATCAAAAAGTCACCATATAGTGCAGTTGACATATACATAATGGTCGAGGATTCAAACAACTGAATGACATTTCACAATCGCAGTAAAATGAATGCAGGGAAAGGTTTGACAAGTTCATGTTGATGTGAAGAGGCTTACTTCAGCAAAATCTGACTCCAAAACATATAGCAAAAGGAAAAGGTAATACATACATTGCATGACAATGACAATGATAAACACTTAGTAAACGATATCAAGAAACATTATTATATGCAAGTTTATTGCTGCAGAAACATTACCAGATAAAGACGATGATACGAAATATGTATATATACCAGCAGTTTGTGCCCATGTAACACTCGTTCCCATGATTCTCTCTTTCTGGTCGACACAAGCTTCACATGCCTTAAACATATATCACTGATTATATTCTGCTACGATGCAATAGAGTATGCCTCTGAATTACCGGTTCATTACTCTTAGATTTAGTTTTATGTTCTCACACTTTGTACAAAAATATCTGCACCACTTTCATTTGCAATTTGACACGAGCTTACTACAATACACGAACAAACAGATTTGGGACAACTTTCTGTCAAATTGAAAATGAAAGTACAGAGTCTGAGAACATAAGGCTAAAATTAAATCCAAGAATAATAAACCAGGTAATACACATGCCAGCTCTATTACATCAAACCAGAACATAAACCAGCAATATATGTTTAATGGAGAACAAACGAGTAATGGCAGTTTAGTTGGCTCTGGGAGTAGCCCATTCAACTCGAAGGATGAGGTTGTCATACCCATATCCGTTCAGCTTGTTGATTGCCCTCTGAGCATCTTCTCTGTTCACGAAATTGACAAATCCGAATCCTCTGCTCGCACCCGTCTTCTGATCTATGGCTACATAGACACGAGTGACCGAACCAAATGACCTGAACAGCTCGAGAAGGTCGGGTTCTCGGGTGTCCTCCGAGAGGTTGGTGACTCGAACAGAGTTCTCGTCATTTCTCCGTCTCATGTCCGAACCTGCACTTCTATCAGCTCCTGCCCTCATGCTTGGTGGCACATAGGCAGCCTTTCCACCTCCGGAAGCTGCAGCTGAGGTTGTCTCTGACACAACAGGCTTGTCACCTAGCATATCTGTCGTTGCTGCAAGACTCTTATACGGGCATCTCGATGTCCAGTGGTCACCCTTTTTACCACAGGTCCTGCACACCATTAGAACAGCACCAGCTTTCCCAAGCTGTGATAAGTTATCCCCAGCGACTTTAGGTTCTTCCGCTTTCGTACCTGCAGTAAATATTCTCTGAAATTAGAATGCAATACAAGAAATACGAAAGCTCTCCATTGATTGAGCATCATATACGAAGTTACCTTCTTTCATTGATTTGTAACAAACAAGGCAAGAATGCCAACACACGCATGTTAACTATCACCACAAGAACTGTAATCACTTTCTCTTCAATTTCCAGTTGCAAAAAAAAAAACTACTGTTTAGCAAACATATTATTGTTCCTCGATCAATAGACGTACGAAACCAATTTTCGCATAGACTCTGTTCACGGAAGCTGAAATCCGATACTTCGCCGTGATAAGCAAACATACAAAAAGAAATCCTAATAAAAAAAGGTTGTTTTTTTCCCATATAAATGAAACCAGATTCATTGAAGATTCTACAGAAAGGAAGTACACACCAGGAGCTCTAGGGCGTTCTAGAAGAATCTCCTCCGTCGAAACCATGGTGAGGCGGTTTCCGGCATCCTCACGAGCAGCGTCTCCAAACTTCTGCCAGCTCCGCCGCTCCACCGCCTTCTTGTTCAGCCGAGCCGACGCTAGTTTCCGGACCCGCGTCGTGGTGGTGATCTTCACCTTGTTTCCGTCGTCATCGAACTTGTACTCGATCACCTTTTTTATCCCATTCTCGTCCGGTCCGATCACCAGCTTCGGCGGCAACAAGAAATCGAGATCTTCTTCCTCGTCCTCTCCGAAATCGCCCCACCGGGGCTTGCTCGCGCCCTTCTCCGTCGCCATTTTAGGGGATTCTAGGCGACCTGACGAACCAGAATTAGGGTTTTCACGTGGACGAGACGAACTGGGGAGTGAGTGAAGATAGATGAAGAAAAACAAATATACGACGTCGTTTCTTAATGGGCTAAATCCATCGGGCATTTGATTGGGCTCCGTAGTGAGGACTCAGTGTTTTCCTTTTTGGGCTTAATCTAATATTTTAATTTCACGGAAATACAAAAACTACATTCCAAAACCTATGATTCATGAAGAAAAAAAAAAGATCGCTAACAGCTAAGGAGTTTCCAACTTATAAAACCTTAAAAATTTGAATAAAATCCCTCATTTTACAAAACGTTACAACACCGTGTTTAATCTAATATAAATTATTAATTAATTAATATATATATATATATATATATATATATATATATATATCATATACTTGAAAACTTGCAAA